GAGAGTGCAGTTATATACTGGTTAATATATTTTTGGGTTCAGTTGCTTTCATGTGGCCTAATGTGAGTCTATTTGGGATCATTGGAATGATCAGCAGCATTTCTTGATGTGACTTTATGGCAGTTGCCCAGGGCATCATCACAAGGAGGATGGCATTCATTTACTTTTGTTTTATTTGGTATTTTTTCAGTCATTTTTGGAAATAGTGATTAATTTTGATTAATTCACAGCCTATGTTTAATTACATTTAAAAATTAGTTGTTTGACATCCCCAATTATAATAAATGTCTACAGATGAGATCAAACAAAACAGATGAGAATTGCCCTTAAAGAGCAAGTCACTCCCAAATAAACATTTTTTTTGCTGATAAACTAAATAAACGAGTGTCTAATCGTGCTGCAGACACGTGTCGTCAATAATTTGGCACTTCAGTGCATCTTAGTTAAAATTTAAATATTCTGCCTAAAACTGGCAGTGTTGTGCCGTTGTCAGGTAAAAACTCTGCACTGTATTTTAATTTAAATCTGCCACCGCTATTGGCTAAGAAGTATGCTATGATGTAAACTGGTACATTATGATGTCACAATGCTGTCGTGAGCCTGAGTGTGTGTGTATTTGTTAGCGGCTCCGCCCTCTCGGTCTGCCAGGCAACAGCATGTGTTGCATTTTTCAAACATGAAGCGGGAGTGGAGTTAGACTCTGGTAGGGGTTGACTTGCTCTTTAAGCTGTTTAACTTGGACCAAGCATTTTAGGTCACAGATAGGTGTAGCTTAGGGTCTCTGTCTATACACCTTAGAAAACAATTTAGGTGATGGCATGTTGTTTTTCTGCTATTGAACTGTTTTCTAATAATGTTGTGTTTAATAAAGTGAAGGAAGGAGAAAAATAACGTTTCCCTAGCAGTTTTAAAAAATGTCCCTATGTAATCCGATTAATCGATTAATCGTGTCGAGACCCCATCCGATTAATCGATTATCCAAATAATCGTTTGTTGCAGCCCTACTTTTGACCATCACCTGCTACTGGAGAGGCTGAGAGACTGGGTAGGACTATCAGGAACTGCTCTGGAGTGGTTCTCCTCTTATCTTTCTGAGCGCTCCTTTTCTTTGGCCATCTCCAAGTTTAGGTCCTCCACCACCTCCCTTACCCATGGTGTCCCACAAGGTTCTGTGCTGTGGCACTTACCCTTCCTCCTCTATCTGCTTCCTCCTCAGCACATCCTAAGCTTCTTCAAAGGGAATCTCCTACCATCTTTATGCAGATGACATCCAACTGTACATCTCCTTTAAGCCCCATGAGATGTCTAAGCTGCAGCTGTTACACACCTGCTTAGACTCTATCAAATCCTGGATGGCTGGGAGCTTTCTTCAGCTGAATGAAGATAAGACTGAGATCCTCGTCTGTGCCCCAGACAAGCTGGTTCCCAAAGTCAGAGACTCTCTTGGTCAGCTTGCTTCTCACACTAAACCTTCTGTCAGGAATCTTGGTGTGACCTTTGACCCAGCTCTCACCCTGGATTCTCATGTCAGTTCCCTTGTTCGCTCTTCCTTCTTCCATCTCAGGAACATCGCCAAGCTAAGTCCCATTCTGTCCCGCTCTGAACTTGAGACAGTTGTCCACACCTTTATCTCCTCACGCTTAGACTACTGTAGCTCTATTTTCACGTGTCTGAGCAGAACCTCCCTGAACCGTCTACAGGTGGTTCAGAATGCCTGTGCTCGGCTTCTGACCAACTCCTCCAAACACACCCACATCACCCCGCTTTTCCTCCAGCTTCACTGGCTGCCAGTCAACTTCAGGGTTAATTTCAAGATCCTGGTTCTGGTCTATAGGGCCTTACATGGACAAGCACCATCATACATTGGTGATCTTCTTAGTCCCTACACCCCCAGCAGGTCCCTGAGGTCTAGTGATCAAAGCCTACTGGTTGTGCAGCACCAGGCTAAAGACCAAAGGTGACAGATCATTTGCTGCTGTGGCCCCCAGACTCTGGACCTCTCTCCCCCTGAGCCTGAAATCAGTGGACTCAGTGGTCTCCTTTAAAAATCAGCTGAAAACTCACTTGTACAAGCTGGCTTTGGTGTGTCCTTTGTCACCTCCCTCTCCTTATTCTATTATTATTCCGCCTTTCCCGGGATCCATTGACTTCCCTCTCTCCTATTCACTTTCTCTCTCCATTTTTTTTGTTCTTTTCTCCTTTTAAACATATTTGTTATCATTTTTTTAAATCTTTTTATACTTTCATTTTTGTTTTTGTTTTTATTTTTGTGAAGCGCCTCATGATTTTTATCTTGAGAGGCGCTATACAAAAGATCATCTTCCTCTACTTCTAAGCAAACCAAACACGGAGAAGACGGACGACAGAGCTTGGGTAATCAGGACATTATTAAATCACTATAGACAAAACATTCATTGTTTAAGAGAATATGATTGTAATTAACCTATAAAGTGAGGATATCTTTGTATGAGACAAAATACGATTCTTTTATTAAAGTTAAGTGTTGTGTCTTCTGTCTGGAGTCTCCTTGTGCTGCTTATCTCCAGCGGTCAATGGGCAATCAGGCGGGGTACACCCTGGACAGAGAGCCAGTCCATCGCAGGGCAACAGGGACACACAGGACAAACAATCATGCACACACACACACACACATACACCTAAGGACAATTTAGACAGACCAATAACCTAACAGTCATGTTTTTGGACTGTGGGAGGAAGCCGGAGTACCCGTAGAGAACCCACGCATGCACAGGGAGAACATGCAAACTCCATGCAGAAAGATCCCAGGCCGGGAAGTGAACCCAGGACCTTCTTGCTGCAAGGCAACAGCTCTAACCACTGCGCCACTGCGCAGCCTGTTTTAAAAACATGTTCAAGTCATTTAGAACAGAGGAAGGAACTGCGGCACACTCAGCTTCAGACACCATGTTTATGAGAAACTCAGCGTTGTGGTGCATGTTTGACATACACTGCTTGTGAGGTGATCTAAACCCCCACACAGCAGGGAAGTCAGCATAAATCCCAATCAGCAAATTGTAATCCAACATAGCAATATCCACAGGCAGGAACAAATGCCACGTCAAAGACCAGGAAGACTGGAACTCCAGAAAATAATCCAGAATAATCCAGGAGAGGAGTAGATGCCAGTGAGTCATCAGGTTATCAGTTCATCTGGTGGAGCTCAAGGCATCATTAGAAACACACAGGGCAATAGACTCACACTGCTGACATCAGATGGTAAAAAAGTAAAAAATAAATAAATAAATTAGGAACTATGTGTATGAAGATTAACTGAATGATGTAGTTAAAATCAGAGGGAAAAAATGTGTAAATATCAGTGATGAAGTGTAAATATTGATACAATTCTTTGAAAAAAGAAAATGTATAAAATGTAGTGAAATGAGTGAATTAATTAAATGGAAACTAATAAAATCTGAAAATAAGCGGTAAAGGAAAAAAAAATCATAAGTGATAAGAGTGGTGTAATAAGCTAACCAATAACAGCAACTAAAAAAATGTGTGTGTTCTACAAAAGTAAAACCAAATGAATATCGAAATGTAAAAATATACAAATTCTGAATATTGTATATAACAAAAATGATTTTGAATATAAACATTTTTAAATGTAAAAATCTTAAGATGGTTAATACTTATGAGGGGGGTACTTTGGGCATGTGTTGAAAACCCCCTGCCCATTGAGCTCCCTCCTGAACTTGACCTTCATTGCGGTAGGTGGCCCTGAGCAGGGGGGACTCTACAGGCTCCTCGCCAAGCTCAGCCACTCCAGAACTGCCTCCGCAGCATCCTTCAGAACTATTCTCCGACGTTCTCTCACACATTGAACAGGTCGTGGGGTAGGCAGATGCTCTTATGAGTGAGCAGGACAAACTACGTCAGCTCCTACTAAAATACAAAGACTCTATTTCAGTCGACTCCATAGACTTAGGGTTGATTGCGATCCATGAATCCAACAAGGTTATTTGTCCACTGCAATGTCACTGTAAGGTCACCAGACACTGATTTGTCCACAGCCTGCTTAACTATGTGCTTTTCACCTAAAGACACAGGCTGTTTGTAACCTTGCACCAGAAGTTAGCCGTAATAAATAACTTCTCCTGACTCCGCTATCTGAGCTGCAACTCCAAGGTCCATGCAGAAGACGAGACCTTACTCTTTGAATAAAATTACTGTTATTTTGGTCTCATAAAATTATTTCTTTCAATCCTCAGGTTGTTTACAACCATATTATGTATGTCTACGATGAATGTTCTACTTAAAGTGATTTAATAATTAATCAATTATTCAACATACATTTTTATTATTTATTGACTTATTTCAGATTTTAAATAAACTAAATGAGTCTACTTGATAATTTAAAAATGATTTATTATTATTTACATTCACATATTAATATCAGTACTAACAAATGAATGTGTAACAGATTTATTTTACATTAAGTGGAATTAGCCTCTTCTGAGTGTCTGAGGAGTGTGTGATGTTTGAGGATTCTTGATAAAACTGGTTCATATTTCTCAGATCTGGTTGGTCAAAGTTTATAAACAAACACTCACTCACGTTCTATTTTCCCCAGTTCTGCCAGAGCTCCAAGTTACAGACAAGCTCAGAGCTCGTGCTAAATGACCATCCTAATCAACCAGATTTTTCAGTGGAATAATTGTAGTGGCTTAAAAAGCCCATCCTTTCTTTACATAAATCAATTATTCATTGCCCTTGTCCATGAGAGCGGGGTCTGTGTGATACTGGAGGTGTGTAAACACAACCTGGCAATGCAGGGATGGGCTGTCCCCATCTGGCCCAGGTAGAACTTATTAGTGTGAAAACACCATTAGGTCTTCACCTTGAATTGTCACCTTGAAAAACACAGTTCTGCTGCCTCTTAATGGCGGTGATTTGTAGAGACTTTCAAGGAGTTTTAACTGTAAAATGGGACGGTTTAAATGCCAGATTGTCTGTACTGACTTTGTCTCCTCAATCTACAGATGTCTTCTCATCAGATGTGTGTGGTCCAGATAAGGAGCTAGATCTGGAAAATTGCCAGTGTGTGTGTAGGCACAGCAATCCAACAAACAGCTGTGGCCCACACCGACACCTTGATCAGAAAACCTGCCAGTGCGTCTGCAACGCGCTTCCAGCTCTGTCCTGTCCTCCAAACCACGTCCTCAACAAGGAGACATGCCAGTGCACATGTGATAGAACGTGTCCAAGGCATCAGCCCCTCAACAAGACAAAATGCTCCTGTGAATGTCATGAATCACCAAACAAGTGTTTTCTGAAAGGAAGAAGGTTTCACCAACCCACCTGCAGGTATGCAGTTTTCCAGCGTGTCATTGGTATTAGAGCATTTTATCTTTGTGAGATACCGTAGTACCTAGGTTTTATCAATCAATCAACCACTCAATCAATCAATCAATCAATCAACCAACCAACCAACCAACCAACCAACCAACCAATCAATCAATCAATGTTTATTCATATAGCACTTTACACAACCCAGAGGGTTGTAGTAGTCCAAAAGGGAGCTGATAAAAGCATGTATGGCTTTCTAGGTCACTGAGACTTAAACATGGTTTAGCTAAAACTGAAAAAAGCTAACCTTGATGACCAAGTCAATCTGCTTATCAGAATTCATGCCGCTATCTCTAAAAATTGGGGCTAAAGATCCAAAATCTGACAGTGTGACATTTTGCATGTTTGGTAAGGAAAAAAAGAATACACTCAGTTTTGTCGTTGAGATGTAAGACTTTTTCGGACAACCATAAATCTATGTCATGCATGCAGTGTAACAGGCAAGATATCGTAGCACAATTTCTGGACTTTACTGGCAGTTCAAAGTAGAAGTCATCAGCATAACAATGGAAAGACAAATTATGTCTTTTATTGACATTTCCAAATGGCAACTTCTAGAGTGAGAAAAATGTATTCCCTAGAATATATCCTTGAGGTACACCAAATGAGAGGCTTGCTGGGGATGAATAGGTGTTGAATTAACTGGACTTTGGTGGTCAACACTATTGGGACCATTATTAACTGCTTGTGTAAGACTGATCAGTTAGCTCCACCCTTGTCCCGTTATATGCTTTTGTCAGTTCCTCTTAAAATTTATTTTGACAGCAAGGCTCTATCGACCATTTAACTTGTGATCCAGCATGCATTACAACCCGTCGACAAGCTCGGCTTGAGTTTGCAGAGGCTTTACTTCCAAACGGAACTACAGACCAGACTGTTCACCGTGGGTCCAGTTCCTCAGCTTACCTCCCTTCTGGCCTAAATTCAGGAAACCTGCTGGCCAGGAGAGCTCTTCTCCACACAGTTCCGACTTCTGGATCCCACCAAACCTGGTAGTAAGGGGGTATCATGGAATTCTAATGCAGAGCAGAGAGTGCAGTTCAGATCCAGAGATGCTGCTACAAGCCTTGTGGATCTCAGCTGGACCCTGAGTTTAGGGGTGAAAAGGTTAGGTTGCCCTAGACTGGATCTTCCCGTATGAGAAAGAAGCTCTCCATTATATTACAGATTTTTCTTGAAGTTTTTAAAAAGATCCCTCCCACTCCAGTAACTGCCTCTTGTGATTTACTGTCAGTGATTTTAACAGTAGACTGAAATCCGCTCTGGACCTGCTTGCTCCACTTAAAATCAAAAATCTATATTCAAAACGTGCTTGACCATGGAGAAATGAAAATCTAAAGAAACTAAAGAGGAACTGCAGGGTCGCAGAGCAGAGATGGACAAAGAACAAAATAACTATACATCATCAAATATACACAGAGCTACTTAAATCATATGGTAAATGGTAAAATGGTAAATGGCCTGTATTTGATATAGCACCTTCTAGAGTCCTGGAACCCCCCAAGGCACTTTACAACACAATCAGTCATTCATCCATTCACACACACATTCACACACTGGTGGCGATGAGCTAAGATGTAGCCACAGCTGTCCTGGGGCTCATTGACAGAGGCAAGGCTGCCAAGCACTGGCGCCACCAGTCCCTCTGACCACCACCAGCAGGCAAGGTGGGTTAAGTGTCTTGCCCAAGAACCCAACGACAGAGACAGACTGAGCGGGGCTCGAACCTGCAACCTTCCGATTACGGGGCGAGCACTTAACTGGGCTGCATGGTGGCGCAGTGGTTAGCGCTGTTGCCTGACAGCACGAAGGTTGCAGGTTCGAAACTCGGCTTGGCTGCGGCCTTTCTGCGTGGAGTTGCGTGTTCTCCCCATGCATGCGTGGGTTTCCTCCAGGTACTCCGGTTTCCCCCCACAGATCACAACATGCCCTATGGGTTATAAATTGTAAGTCGCTTTAGATAAAAAGCGTCTGCTAAATGAATAAACAAACATAAACATTCACTCCTGTGCCACCGTCGCCCGATTTAATAATGCAGTGAGAAATTCAAGAAATGCATACCTTTCCAAACTCATTCTAGACAGTAAACACAGTCCCAGAATACTCTTTTCCACCATAAACAACATTTTAAACCGTACATCCAATTCACTTCAGAAACCCCCCTCAGATGCTCTCTGTGAGGAGTTTGTAGCCTACTTCAGAGGGAAGGTAGACACCATCAGAAGGAATATTTTACCGTCTCTAAGTAATAAGGTTTTATATAAATATGAATGTGTGTCTATACCAGAGGAAACACTGGACAGCTTTGTCCTGGTAGAAGCTGAGACTCTTGATAAAGTTTTCTCCTCAGTGAGACCCACCGCATGTGTTCTGGACCCTGTTCCAACTTCGTTTTTTAAACAATTGTATGGATCTTTTAGTGATGAGATTTTAACTCTGATGAATTGCTCCCTTCAGACGGGGGTCTTTCCTGCAGCCTTTAAAGGGGCGGTGGTGAGGCCCCTGTTGAAGAAGAGCATTTAGATTTTAATGAATTGAACAATTGTCGACCGGTATCTAACTTACCATTTCTTAGCTAACCTTTAGCAAAGTTGGTTTTAAATCAACTAAATGATTTTGTAAACACTCATAATGTCCTAGAGAAATTTCAGTCTGGTTTTAGGGTGAACCACAGCACAGAGACGGCCCTTTTGAAGATTTTAAATTATTTTAGATTGAATTATGATAAACAGAAGGTGACAGTGTTGGTTCTACTGGATCTAAGTACTGCCTTCGATACAGTAGACCACACTATTCTTTTAACTCATTTAAAACAGATTGGCCTCTCTGGTGCTGTCCACAGATGGTTCACATCCTACCTCATAGACAGGACTTTTATGGTGAGTTTAGATACCTGTTCCTTGAGGGTTCATGGGATTACATGTGGTGTGCCCCAGGGTTCAATTTTAGGCCCAGTTCTTTTTAACCTTTATATGCTCCCTCTTGGCGGGGTCATCAGGAGACATGGGGTCAACTTTCACAGTTATGCTGATGATGCACAGTTGTACATCTCCGTGTCTCCGGATGACTCTTGGCCAATGGATGCACTTTTAAACTGCATTTTAGACATCAAACCCTGGATGGCAGAGAACTTTCTCCAGCTCAACCAGGACAAAACTGAAGTTTTAGTCCTTGATCCTGAGGCCCAGAGAGAGAAACGTTTACCGAAATTACAATCTCTGCCTTTTAATCCTTCTGAACAAGTGATGAACCTGGGTGTGATTTTTGACTCTGAGCTGACTTTTATCCCACACATAAAAAACATCACAAAAATAGGTTTTTATCATCGAAAGAACATTGCCAGAGTCCGCCCTATCCTCTCTCGGGCTGATACGGAGATGCTGATGCATGCTTTTATCACCAGGAGAATAGACTACTGTAATGCCCTGCTTTCTGGTCTTCCCAAAAAGAGCATTTCAGGTTTACAACTTCCACAAAATTCGGCAGCACGTTTTCTGATGAAGACCAGGAGGCGGGAGCACATTACACCGGTTTTAGAATCACTGCATTGGCTCCCCGTATGTTTCAGGATCAATTTTAAGGTTCTTCTAATGGGTTTTAAGTGTCTTAATGGTCTTGGGCCTTCTTATCTCACAGAACTGCTTTTACCATGTGAACCCTCATGGCCTCTGCGTTCCTCTGGCAGGCATCTCCTGGTCATCCCTAAAGTCAGGACACACACTCACGGTGAGGTGTCCTTCCAGTATTATGGCTCTCGCCTCTGGAACAAGCTGCCAGAGGATCTCAAGGCTGCAGAGAATGTTCATGTTTTTAAGTCCAGGCTAAAGACCCACCTATTTAGGTTAGCTTTTATCTAATTATTTACTATAGTTTTATTTCTCATTTTACATGATTATATTTAATTGCTTGCTTTGCATGTTTTATATGATTATATTTTAGCACTGTTTCATAATTTAATATAATTATTTTACTGTCCATATGATTTTATTTATTATTTATTATCTTACTTTTGTCACTTATATTAGCTCTTTTATTTTCATATTTTTACTCATTTTTATCCAGTGTTTTCTCTGTAAGGGCCCTCTGCCCCTGGGGCGGTGGTCGACTGTAGCTTCCTGGGCGCTCTATAGGTAGTGTTTGAGTGGAGGTGGGGGTCTATGCTCTCCCTCCACTGAGCACCTTGACTTAATGTGGAAGATCTGATGCTGTCTGGGCAGACGGCTCCTCTGATTTCCTTGCCTTACCTTACTTGGCTCATCTGGAGTCAGCCGAATAAAAATTTTTACTGGTGTGTGTTTGCATATGTCTGTTAATGTTTTTGAACTGTTATGGGAATTTGGGGTCATTTTGTAACGCACTTTGAGTAGCACTTTGTTTGAAAAGCGCTTTATAAATAAAATCTGGTTGGTTGGTTGGTTGGTTGGTTTTGTTAATTAAAATAACTCACTGTTGTGCCTGCAAGGCACAAGGTCATCCAGAAGACAAGACTCTTTAACTAACTTTAATATAATTAATTATTCAGTTTCATAAAATAATTCCCTCACTTTACATGTTAATTACAATTACATTATACAATGAATGTTTTACCTAAAGTGATTTAATAACGTCTTGACTGCTTTACAATAATGAATACACCAACATAACTGTATATTCTTGAAATGCCTTATTTCAGATCTTAAATACACCAAATGAGTCTATTTGATTAATTTAATGATGATGTATTATCAGTTATGTCATAAATGAAGATAAAGAAGAAGAAGAAGAAAATATCATTTCTATAGCGCCTCTCAAGATAAAAATCACAAGGCGCTTCACAAAAACAAAAGATGTCAAAATATTAAAAAAAAATTAGAAAATGTTTAAAAATATATTTAAAATGAGCAAAAATAGACAATTGGGATTTAAAAGAAAAAATGTTAAGAAAGAGAGAGTGAACAGGAAAGAGGGAGATCAGTGGA